CTTAGGATTATCTTCAACTTGTCACCTTCAAAATGAAGAAAAAGATAATGAAAATAGAATCCCCAGGGAATATGTTGTTCCTGTTCATTTTTTTCAGCTCTGTAGACAGCTAAGCTGCTAAAGAAGTAAAACAAATTTCCACTTTTACTCACCAGCCTCTTAAATCATGAAAGATCCAAAATTCTGAGCTTTGCTTATTGGTAAACTTATGTTTGAAATTTTCTATCTAAATCTTGGGGGGGAAAAAAACCTAGTATGATGTTAATTCATTTGAGTGTGAGCCCAAATGAATTCACCAAAACCCTCAACTTAAAAAGTTGATGCGCAGTGCTTGCCAAAAGAATTAAAGTAAACGTGAGTACTCCAGTATTAGTAAGCAAGACACTCGAGGAAAGTGATAATTATCAGTGGCAAAGCTGTAGTTGGTCCTAATGGGAGCTGGGACTACAAAAAGAAGCATTAGTCTAAACTTTTATTCTCTGTGAGTTGGTCATTGGTCCTTATTGTAGACCAGCAGGGAACTGAAATAAAACTATTCACCTTCCACTCCATTCTAATAAATTTAAATGTGCAATATTAATATAATCCTGACAATGGTTAATAATTAAGCGGGAACCTTGTATCCATGCATTTAGCTATTAAAATATGTGGGTTTTTTACCTTTGGAATGCAGTGGCCATTCCTCTTCGTTCTGATTGGGGGGTTTTTGTGACCAGAATGGTGAGGGATTCATGGTAGCAACTGCAGAAACTTCTGTGTGTCTGTATGTCTGTTTTATTTTTTCCTCTGCACTGCTGATGTTTTAGAAGTGATCCTCCTCCCACAAAGAGTGCAGCAAACAGTGCAAAGCTGAGGACTGGGTTTTCTACCTTGTCTTTTGTTTAAAACGCCCTCTGGAAAAATTCAGGGCTAGAGGTCTGAAATCAGATGATGGTTTTGCAAATTGGGGGAAAAACCATTGGGTATATCGAGTAAGAAACAATCAGGTTGATTTTGCATTCTTGAGCCAAGTCTCTTTTGTATCTTGAACTTTACAGGGGAAAACCCCATTTAATTTCCTGTAGGAAAGCAACCTCCACTTGTTAGTTTTTAGTGTGTTTCTACAGTCTTCCACTCTGCCTGTGTTCTCACAACCTGTTTATTCATGTGTAGCTTCAAAGTGAATAAATAGCATGGGGGAAGCATATGCCTGGAAGTGTTGGCAATAATCTTGTACAATGTTTGGTATGAATTTTTTCAAAAGCTCTGTTTTCATTTTCTATTTTTTCCTCTTCACACTGCAATATTCCTGTAGTGGTTGAAACAGATAGAGGGGACAGAAGCTGCACTGACACAGAAGATGTTAGACCTGGAGAATGAAAAGGTAAGGAAAAATAGCAAAAAAGATAGTTAACTTAGCTAAAGCTCATCTCAAGAGAATGTGTATAAACTTCATCCTGTGTTGATTTGTTGCCTTTCTCTGCTTAACAGAGATTGCTTCCTGGTAAAATAGGCAAGAAGTTTCTATTGCTTGTATTTTTGGGGGATGGAGAGAACTGTCAAATCTATGTAGAACAAAAATAGCAAACCATATACAAATTATGGCACAAAGGCATAACTTTTCAGAGCATTTAACCAGTGTGAAATCGTCTTTGTGCTTTCTCTGTGTATTAATTTGTCTGGCAAAAGCACTGTCTTTTTAATCTCAGGGTCATGTCAGTAGAATTGTCAAAGGTATTTCTTTGCTCTCTGGTACTTAACTTCTGGACAAGCTGTCAAGACCTCTTACTCCAGATGACCTTTCTTGTCCCATGGTCTTCATGGCTAAAGACAGAATGTTTTCTCAAAAGCAGTTCTGTCTTGCAGAACAAACAGACCTTATTTTTCCATGTGTTGAATTTGGAAGGAGTGTTTGGTTTCACTGGTTTACCATGCATGCTGTGCTTCACATCTTCAAATGTCTTTCCAAACACTGATTAATCCTCACCACACCTTTTACAGGTAGATAAATAATCAGCATTACATTCACCTTAAAGAGTGGCATAATGAGACAGGGAGGTTAAGTGATTTGCCCAGGGCCACTGAAGAAGTGTGTGCTTGAGCCACAAACAAAAACAGAAGTGCTCAGGCTGTGTTCTGTTGAGTGTAGCCTGTAATACTGTTCCTACTTTAACATACATAGGATCTTTTTCACATTTAGTATTTCTTTATTTTAACCCTTGTTACGAAAAAATGTGAAGGTTTTGGAAAGAGAAATGCCCACAAATACTAGATTCTTTTGTAAAAAGAATTGGGGAAAAATAGTTTCTTTAGAACTTTGTTTATCTTCCCAGTTAATATCTGATGTTTCCAAATCTTAGGCTGGATATCCCTTGGATCTATTTGTTTAGCACAGCAATCTCAGAATCTGCATCACTAATGGTTGACTCAATCATGAAATAAATCAAGAAATAATACTCTAGCATGACACTTTTCAGAGGACTGAGCACTGGGTTAGTTGTCCTTGAAACCCATGTTAAGGGTTTGAGGTCCTATTCTTGTTTCCTTCCCTCTGGCTTTTGTGGGCAGCTTTTGCTTTACCTTTCGGAGAAGTAATGTAATCAGGGCAGCTGCATTGCTTTTCTGAGGTCTGATGGGAGTTCTGACCCTCTCTGCAGTCTCAAGGACTCTACTTCTCTGGTGTCTGACACATGTAAGCACGTTAGGACCAGGCTTGTCCTTTACTATGCATCACAGAGTGCATGGTGGCATTGCATCTTGTACAACAGCCATGCAGCTGTTGCTGTAATCCAGTAGCTGAAGCAGCATACCCTAAAATAGCTATAAATTCAATAGATGCCCATCTGTGGAAAACCAAATTCCAGCCCCAAGATTAAGACCTGCCTTAAACTTTGAATTTACCTTATGTATTAATTAATAGGTAATTAAAATAACTCCAAGTTTACAAAATAAATTAGTAGTAAATATACTTCTTACATAGAGAACAAATAGCACCTTATTCTTCTGTGTCCTCTAATATTGGTCTTACATGTTGCTAGTGTCACCAATTCTGAGTTGTTCTTAACAAGTGGGAGGTCATCTGTAGTCATTTTATGCTCTGAACCCCTCCAAAGCATTAATTTGCTAATCAGAATGGATTTGTTTTGAAATAGATGTTTGGACAGAGAATTCATCATTATGGTTCATGCTTAGGCAAATTCTGTGCCAGTGACAGATGACAGAAAAGTTGTCAGAAGTCCACATATATGTCTGAAGGTGAAAATTGCCCAAGTAAGTGACTTTGGGGCAATCCCACATCCAGTACAACTAACCAGACCATCAATATTTGATTTATTTTTAATACTGTTAATAAAAGCTGCAATTAATAAACCTAAGAACCCTATGTATTTAATTTGACATTCATTCTATATGTTGAATAGCAAAAAGAATGATGGGAAATATTAAATTCGATCAAAGGGCTTCTCTACATTCTGGTCTACTACTAATTTTTTTTAGCGTGAGACTCTACCTTGATGGAAAAAATAATAAAAACCCTAGGTATCTTGAAAACTTCTTCAGCTAGTCACTCAACCTCTCTGGACATCACTTTAGCCATTTTAAATGCTGCAGAACCCAACTATGACCCTGCATGTTCGGGTTTCCTCTCCAGAAGAACAGACGAGACAACAGAAATTGGAGTTTGCTCCATGGTTTCCTTAAGGATACTCATGGGGTGTTTTCAGAAAAGCCATGAAGTGCCCTCACTTTTGTTTCTCTTCCCTTGGCCTGCCCTGTGCAGGTTATGGCTGTGGGACCACATGCATGCACATCCCATTCACCTTTTGCTGCTGTGTGCACTTCTGTCAGGTCCAGGCAGCTTTGTACACTAGCATAGAGGTCAATGCTTTCTAGCTACTACTTGTTATTATGATACCCATACTTTAAGTGCTAATATTGTAAATTTGGTATTCCAGATATCCTTAGGGTGAATGTGGTCATTTGCTATAGGTTTTCTTTTGCTTTCAAGTGGAAAGCTTGCATAAAAATGATGGCATTTATGATTCTTCATGAATTAGGATAAAGATCAAATACTCCCTTGTTTTTATTATTGCTCAGGACCTGTTCAGTAAACAGAAGGGTTATTTAGAGGAAGAACTCGACTACAGGAAGCAAGCTCTGGACCAGGCATACATGGTAGGAAAAGAACAGTCATTAAATTTTTGTGTTTGAACAGATTTGATAAAATGCAGGTTTGGTTTTGGTTTTTATTTTTGTTTTGTGTTAATTATAAATAGGATTCTCTTTTACAGTATATCATTTTCTGCCAGACTAGAAATCAACTTTTGCTTAAAGTTAGGAAATGGATTATAGTACTTACAAGTGTAATGTTTTTTGCATTGCATTTTTCATTCTATGATATGCAAACATCTTGTTACTACATCTGGAATGAGAAGAGCTGGTTTGTGTTATGGTTATGCACATAACCATGACTGATAAAATACACTAGAATTTACCTTAGAACTTTTCCAATATTTCTTTTCCTAAAGCATTTGTAAGTATTACTGCTGCTAACCTATCCTGAGTCAGGAATGCTTGTTCTTCCTGTGTGATTCCTTTCTACGTGGTCCTATCCAACCTTAACCTTCCTAGTTTTCAAAAGGGAAGCTGCAACCTCACCTTTTCTCAAGCTAAGCAACAATTTGGACTTATCTAGGAACTGGTAAAACTGCACACTCAACTTTGTTAATAGTGAGACTTTATGAAATCAGAGCATAATGTCCTGAAGCATTATTTAAACATTGTAAATGTTTCTCGTGGAGAAAATGTTTCTAGAAAAGATGCAAGGTCTAGTGCTCAGAGCAGATAACAGAGACAAAAGCAAGCAGGCTCTACTTCTAGCACTGTGACCTTGGGCAAGCCATTTAACCTCTCTGTGCAGCTGTTTATGCATCACTAATATGGATGGAATTACCTACCTCGCAAAGGTGTTATGAGGGCTAAAGGGATGTTGTCAGATGCTCTTGATCCCAATATTGTCAGTCGGGATGCTGGTTTTTAATAGGATCATGCTAACCCCAGTAATCAGGGAAACACTGCCATGATTTCTTTCTTTCCTCTTGGGAATACAGTTTTCCATGTGAATGTGAAGTTCTCCTGTGTTCTCTGCATTGCATAGTGCTACAGTTTGGCTCAGTGCATGAGAGTCATGTTAGGAATCTGGCAGACAGCAAGAAACAGATGAGGGATTAGTGTATACAAGTGTTCCTCTCTTCATTGCTTATGGCAACTCGGATCTAAGCCACTGATGTAGACTTTGAGCTATGGCTATTAGGACAGTAGGGCCAGAGAGAGAGAGAAAGATTGCTGTTCACAGTTTTTCCCGTGGTCTTTTTATTTTATAAGTTGTCTTGACCATTCAGTTGCAGTTAGGAAATCTGTTTGCATTAAGTTCATAATGTTCAGCATCAGGATTTGGAGTTTTATCAGGTATTGAATGCAGACTATGACGTGAAACTTTCTAAAACAGAAGAGTCAGTTATTTAGTAGCATGGGAACCATCACTCGGGTGTAAATCAGTGCCAGGAGGCTGTGTGCACTCTGTGTGGAATGCTCCTCACTGCTCACAACTGCTGCTTTCTGTCTACCTGTCTGTGTCTGTCCTTCCCTCCTGCCCAAGGCTTTGCTTGCTAACCTTCTGCTCTAGCTGTCGGTGGGTCGTTTGTTTGCTGGACTCAAACGTCAGCCTGTCTGTGTGTGATTTGGGTTGCACTAGAAAATCCAGGAGCTGGAAGCCACGCTGTATAATGCCCTGCAGCAGGATCCAGGGAGGAGGGCGAGCGAGTCGCTGACGGAGGCGCAGAGGGAGGATTTGCGAGCTGCAGTGGACAAGGTGCGGCGGCAGATCCTGAGGCAGAGCCGTGAGTTTGACAGCCAGATCTTGCACGAGCGAATGGAGCTGCTGCAGCAGGCACAGCAGGTAATCCTGGTTCTCTCTCCTGCCCCTCGTTGGTGTTACCTCTGTGGTTGCTGCCACTGGTCATCCAAGAGCATCGCTTCACCCTCACCTCGTGGAGTTCTGTTTAGTCTATTCTTTGTACAGCTCCCGTGCCAAGGAGCCGTGTGCTGTTAGGACCTGGTTGCGCTGGGCATGGTGCACACACCAAACAAGTCACTGTCTCACCTCAAGGTCCTGTTGCACAACCTGCTTCATGTGTGTACAACCACACAGACTTCCACAGGACTCTAAGGAGAGCTTGATCCAAGTGTGAGGCCAGAATGGAAGGCTGTCAGAGTGTAATGTTATGAAAAGAGGAAAGGCAGAAGAGTAGTTACAGGAATCCAAGTTTTGGGTTTTTTTCCCCCCTTTTAATTTATTTTATTGTCAGAGTGTAATGCTATGAAAAGAGGAAAGGCAGAAGGGTAGTTACAGGAATCCAAGTTTTGGGGTTTTTTTTCCCCCCTTTTAATTTATTTTAGCTATTTGTGAAATCTTTTAAAGAAAATAAAACAAAAGAGAGGTGGTCATAGCAAGTCTTCTAGGAGACCATTTACAAACTTTCATGCCTTTAAATTAGTTCAGAAAAGCCTCATCTGTCCCAGCTATTTCCCTAAGGGCAAGTATTGACAACTTGAATTCTGTAAGGTCCTGACCTGTGGAAGCAGGGTCATTATTTACTGTTGGTAGGATTGCTAGTTTTCCTGTGCAAATGTTCAGGGAAAGAAGAGAGCTGCATTTCTCAGGGTATTAATTCGTACTGCAGGAATAACTGTTCCCAAGGATTTTAGTTCTCTTGCATAGTAACCTCTTGAAGTTGCAGACAGACGTTTAGATCTTGAGGACTTCTCTCCAGTTACTTAGCTACTCTCTGTGCAAATCAGGAATCACAGATTGTAAATACCAAAGTCTGCTATGCAGATGCATCCAAGATGTTGTTGCTATTTCAGGTGCTGGTTCTGGGGCAAGAACTGCTTTAGTTTAGTCCAAGCCTCTCTCTGTTCAGGTTGGCTTTGTAGACAAATATAGATGACACTGATGTAATGTGACCCAGCAGTATTGTGATTATCTCCTGTCATCCTGCAGTGATGAGAAGTGCTTATGGTGGCAGTGTTAGACCCAAGCTCTGACTTCCAGGAAGCTTCCTTTTTCTTACTCTTTGATTCTATTCCCTTGTTTTGGGATGTGTAACATTGAGACCAGGAGATGAGCTTGTTTAATGGGTGTCAGATCACCAGTGGTGTACAGAAAGCTGAAGGTAGGTACCAGCTGATGCTAAAAGTGTCAGAAAGAGAGAACAGAGTAAACATATGAAATCTGGTAAGTAAGGATGGAAACAGAAGCTTTTAGCTCAATGTTAGTAGTGTAGCTGAAAATTAGTGAGAATGGAGATTTTAACCAGTCTCTTAGGTAGTCCAATTTCCTAGCCAGACTGTTGGTGTTTTATTCAGAGCAATAATGCAATGCTTTTCAGTTGGGTAAATATTATTTGGCAATGGCATTTAATGGGTATGAATGACACTGTGTCTTTAGTGATGCCTCTACACCTAAATAATATTCAATTATTTATAACTTCTAATTTTAACATCAGACTAGGTATAGTTTGGTCCTTTGTTTTCACCAGGCATGTAGTTTGACACTGTTTGAAGGACTCCTATTGGCTAGGGACTTTTTCTGGCCCTTTTGGTGGTGTGTGTTTTGGGGGGACCTGGGCAGAGCTTCTAAGTTAAGCTCATATATTGGGAAATAGAAAGGAAAAAGTGGGAATAGATTTGTGTGAAACACCAGAAGACTCAAAATCCATACTATGTGCATATCTGGGGTTTAACTTGGACTATGTTCCATTTTGTTTCATGGCCTGCTCACTATTTATCTCAGGACTTTATTTGCACATCTTCTTCTGGAATCTAGTTCATGTATTCACAGATTGCTTCACAACATAAAGTTAAATATGACGAGCACAGAAAGAAAGAAAAATGCTAGCATAAACATAGCTTCATTAGCCATGGATGTTTATGTACCTGTCTCTAGATCCATTTTATAATGTCATTAGAGTTTCATGTTGTGCCATCTCCTTAGACATGCTAATGTTACAGCCCTGCAGGGCACATTAAACTGAATTCTACTACTTAATAAGGAGCTAAGCATTTTAGTCATCTATTTTTAACACACACACACACACACATACTCTATTAGAAAAACAAAACCAAAGATGCTAGTTAATTTGCCTGGGGTATGGGAGGGCTAATTCTCACAGGATTACTTTCTTCTACATTAGCAAATGACAGAAGCTGAATGTTACACAAATAAAACCATACTTACGCTAACAGAATCCTAATGAATGGGTGAAGATGCACTAAGTACAGTACATCTCTGATGTTTTTGTTAAATTAATCCCTTCCTTTCTTCATATATTTATAGCAACAGAAGTTTTGCTGACATTGTGACAACAGCAAACACCCGTTACGCTTTATTCTGGCAAACTTGTAGTTTAGACTCGGTCATATTTTAGAGTCTGCAGTGCCTTTACAATATGCACCACACTTCTTACTCTGCTGAAGTAGAGGTTACAGAGAACGATGTGACAGCTTGATGGACCTGCAAGGCTTAATACAGAATCTTCTTGTTGTGCACACTCTCAGACTTTCCCTGAAACAGAAACCATGGATTAAAGACTCCAAATTCTCTGAAAGTTTGGAAGCTGGATCACTTCCAGAAGGCCTGTTTCTTTGCTTCCATTACTCTCTGGTCTGCCTGATACAAGGGCTTCAAAACAGCATTTTTTTCCTGGCAGACTGGCCATAACCTTCTTGGAGTCAGAGTTTCTGTTTCAGACATAGAGTGGAACTTCAAGAAGATCTGATGACAGAGAAGGAGTTCTTGCCTTCTGCCTGTGAATGATCCTTGTCTATACTTGCAGGATGCAGAAGTGGTAAGGCACGAGATGAACACTGCAGGTTGGTCTGCAGGGTTTCATTATAGATGAATTGCTTCATGCAGGATTTAGCTTGTGAGATGCTGGTTTTACAGAGCTGGTAAATGTTCTTCCTGTGGAATGTACTGTCTGAAAGGGACAGGGATGTGCATAAGGAAATGGGTAAATTGTTGCCCAAGTGTGAGCCTGTGCTGCTTTGTGTGTGCTTCTTTGTCCAGATAGAAAGCCTGAGTTCTTAGCCACTATGTATTGACTTTGTTCCAGTGAAATAAATACATTTTAGGATGTTAGGCTCTGTATTATTATGGTAGCTCTGGTCACCTTGGGCATGTATAGCCCCACAGTATTATTGTTCATTATTATATAAATGGCACTATTCATGTATCCCCATTTTGTATTAAGGAAACCAGGCCTCTGTGGAGCCAAATTAGACAGGCTGTATGATTAGATCTGCTTGCTAAGGCACACAAAGCTTTTATTAAACCCAGAGTGCAACATGCAGGTCTGGGGGACAGATCCTCAGCTGAAACATATTGGCAGTACTCCCTCTAAGTCAGAGAAGGTGCTTTGATTTACACCATCCTCTCTATTTGGAGGAGGTAGAATATGTTAATTAAAAATCTGTCATGAGCAGCTTGTGATATTTGCTTCTAGCAATAGGGTATGTGCAGTTCAGCCACTGTTCCTGTGTATATTGCCATCAAAATGGCTCATCGTGCTACTCTATTATTATAAGCTTTTGTAAATCAATGTCTGGTTTATTTTTAGCAGGACTTCGTTTCAAAGTAGCATTTGTGCTCTAGTCAGTGCAGTGGTATGAGTTTTGTGCTTTTTGGAAAAATATGAAGGTCATTACTAGCAGGTTCTGTTAAGAAGGGTGTTTTTTATGTATTTATAGCATGATAAGTCATTTCTAAAGGGAGAGAAAAATGTGTTGTGTAGCTATAAAAACCGTCTCTGAGAAAAGACCTTTCAAACACAGCAATACAACATGTTTCTGAAGCAGTGATGTCAACTTCCTAATTAAAAAAACTCAAAAAGAAAAACAAAATTTAAAAAACTGCCAAAAAAATTCAGCACAAAAAATTCACACAGTGTCATGGTTAGTTCACCTGAAAAATATATTGCAATTGTCTTATCTGCTGAAACTAGTAAATATTTAGCCAAATTGTGTTTTGTATCAACCAAACAAATTGAAAACTGGAATATATTCCTGTTGCTTTTACTGTGGCTGCTTCTGGAGTAAGAAACTCTGGTAAGTCGTCAGAACAAGGCTTTGAATTAGGATTGATTAATTCCAATTGCAGTGTTGGCAGTATTCAAACGTGGACAAAATTTGTAGCAGATAGATAATTTATTCTGATTTCATCTGAAGTTATTTTAAATCCAAAGAGAAGCTAGAAAATCCTGGAAGGACAGCAGATTGACACACACTCAGTTCCAAAAATGGTTGCTGCCAGTCAGACAGGATACAAGAGACAGCTTTTATTAATGTAATCCAATAATTTCCCAGAGCAGTCTTTATATTAAATTGTAAGAAAGAAGGAAAGAGAAAAGATCTGTTTGTTCATTGTGTCAGCAAAAAAGTGTGAACCTTTTTTCCTCTGAGTTGCACTGTAGCACTATACTAAACTGAGGGTGTTTTATTCTAAATTGAGTAAGAATATTCTCAGGTGAAGCTTAGTTTTACAAAGTAAGAGAAACCATTGCTTCAGTTCTAGACCTAGATATAATACATCTATGGAATGCTGAAGTCATCCAAATTCCAACTTTTAAAAGTTGGAATATAGCTGTAAATATTTTAGCTACAATTTCTTTAATCTAGATCATTTACTCCCATGACCAGATTGAATGATTCATCAGTAATAGAAGCTGAAACTACCACTTTATTTGCACGTTTTACTAGAAGAATTTATACCTTTAGGCCAGAGCAGGTATCAATCAGAACTGACCTCTATGTGCCATGGCCACAGAGAAGGATTCACTGGAAATGTGATGCCTTGGGCACAGCTTTTCATGGGCACCAAGGAAAAGTCAGAAGCAGCAG